TATTTATTCCAAAGTTGCTAAATGTAAAATACTGAGACTTTTATAATGTATATTCGATATCCATGCTGCTGAAAGAGTAACTATGGTATTGTATGAGTTTGGATTTTGTTCAGTCTCTATGAAGAGGGTTAAAAAATTAGGTCGATTTGTACATTATTTTGCCATAATTTCCTCTTCCTCCCCTATACTGACTGCATGCAGTCTGGACAAGTTTATTCGATGTGAAAGTGTGAAAGATGTGAGAGAGAGCGAATGAGTGCGAGAGAGAGAGAGAGAGAGAGAGAGAGAGAGAGAGAGAGAGAGAGAGAGAGAGAGAGAGAGAGAGAGACTGAAATAAAATATAGTAACCATTTTTTTAGACGGGTTCAATCATATCCGTGCTCTGAAAATAAAACGCCCAAAGTTTATCAGCAAACAAAAAGGCGCATGAATTACAACAGAAGGAACTTGATGTCTATCAGTCAACCCTCAAACATAGCAGGTATGATTTTATCTTAATCCTGCTTCACTTGCTTTGTTGTTTTATCAAAATGTGCTTTCCGTATCCAAATGTGTGAACTTTGCAGATTTGGGCTATACTTATGTATTTTAGACATTGTTTTCCTTTCAATTATCCCCTGAATGCAATGACTTTACTTTATTTTAAAAATTGCAGTTGCATGAGTGGAAATGTAATGATGAATCTACAAAGCATAGAAAATTGTTGCTAAAGTTGATTCAATATGGACGCAATCCGTCGAGGTTGAAAATGTAGGTGATGTACGTGTATTTTTCTCAGACGAGTTATTTATCGGCAGAGGAAATAATGAAACCTGTGTTTTTCTCGGACTGAGAAAGGATGGTTATTGCAAAGCAGTGAAACGAATACGTCGAGAAAACTGCATCGAGCTTGCACAACAAGAAAGAATTTAAACAAATTTAACGCATAAAACATGTAATGTGTTGTGAATTATTCCTTCTTAATAGAGGATACTGGAATGGAATATGTTTATTTGATAGTAGATTTATGTGAAGAATCGTTGGAGAAGTTTGTGGAGTATTCTACTTTACATGATCTTCGAAGAGCTCTTTTTGATATTCTCAAACAAATGCAAAGAGGATTAGCTATTCTTATAAGCGGTCCAAATCCTATTCTTCATCGGGATTTAAAGACTTCCAATGTTCTCCGATATTCTAAAGGCAAATTTCTGATAGCTGACTTTGGTATTAGTCGAATATTGAAGAATAGATTAATAACATATGTAAGCAAAGCTAACAGGGGAACTGAGCATTTGGTTGCTTCTGAGTCATATTTTGAAGATTAAGATTCAATTGATACAGCACGCTACAAAAAAGAATCTGATGTAAATGTAGGTTTAGGAATGTTAACATTTGCATATAATATATATACTCAATTTTGTGAGATTATTTTGTTTCCATTACAATTTTTGTATTACTTTAGAATGCTGGAATGGTGGCTTGTTATGTCGCAATAAAAGGAAAACATCCTTTTGGAACTAAGCGGCATAGATTGGACAACATGTTAAAAGGAAATCCTTCTGGCTTGAATGAAATCAAAAATGAAAAACTAAAAGACCTTCAGTCGTGAATGTTAAGTCTACGACCTGAAGACAGACCACCTGCTAATGAGGCGTTAATACGTCCATTTCTTATGTCGTATGACGACACATTTGAATTTTATGTAAAATTAGAAACCTACAGGCAATTAAAACAAATTATATCCTGTCAAGTGTCGTTCAACAATTGAATAGTCACTCATCAAATTGGAAAAGTCAAATAAATAATAATGTGTATGATTATTTTACAACAGTTGAAGTGAATGGAAAAATTCGTAAGTATGCATCTTCAAGGACTGATTGCTTAAGACCAATTCGAAATATTGTCAAGCATTGGTACGATCGTCCACGACCTCAACAAGAACCATTTTATAAGATTGGTGATCACAAGGCGTATATTCTCAAAACTTTCCCCAATCTCTCTTTTCGGATGCACACTGCTGTCAAGTCAAACGACAAATTGAAAACTAATGCAGAACTTAAGAACTTTTTTAATTTCAACGAGAGCGAACCTTATAAATGAATAATTTAAGGCAAGCAAAACCTGGCCTGTTTGAAGGGAAGGAACTTCGTATTTGAATGTGAAGTAGAAACATATTTTATGACCATATTTTCATTGTAACAGTGGCGTTCCTTAAGCCTTGATAATTGGGTGAGTAATATTTATATATACTTGTTATAATTTGCAAAGGACCATTCATTTCAAAAGAACTTAATTACATAGGTGGTGACATGAATTTAAGAAGAATATACTGCTCTGCATGCTACGTAACCACATTTCTGGTGAGTTTAAATTAACTTTATAAAATGTATAATAATTAATATTTATTTTTTACTCTTTGTTGATTTTCAGGATAGATATTGATTACACAAACTTATTTTGAAGGAGTTTCAGCACTAGTTCTCTCGATAGTAAAGAACTTGCGTTTTTAGAAATTTCAACGCCCAGCTGCCAGCTTTGCGTGCAACTTAAAGTACTCAGAATCACTAAATGTTTTTGCTATTACCCTCTTACAACTTGTTCAAAGAACTTCTAGAAAGACAATTTTTATGCACCCTGTATATTGCCTGTCTACAATCATACAGTGTTAAGTAAATGCCATGAAATTACTTGATTTTACTTTGCGTTATTTAGCATGTAATGTATTATTTATGTTTACATATAACACATATAATGTATTAATGAGGTAAATAAAAATTGGTTCACAAATAATACATTTTTTGTAAAATAAGGAAACATTATTTAAGAAATAAATTACTACGCACGCCAAACGCCAAATATGAAAAATATAAAGACCATCCAAAACTATTCAACTTTGGTTTAGCATTGCAATTGCTGAAGTGACAGACGAAGTGCAAGCCAAGCAGATGCATAATTCTTTCTTTGAAGCTTAGTGTTGTATCCAATTTCGTAGAAATTTCGATAACTGGGGGAGGGTCATATTCATATTTGAATTTCATAATCAGCCAAACATAATGAATTTCAGAAAAACTTGATACGGTAAAACATGAATATATGAATATACCCTCCCCTCCAAATTAATGAGTTTAATATTCTATGTTGTTAGTATCAGCAACAGGCAAACATTCCATTTTTCCTAGTGATTTTCCATTATATTTATACAGTGATCATTTAATTTATCAGTCTTGATTTTACTTAGAGGTAAAGTCTGACGACGTTGGACATTTAAATATAAGTTTCATATATGTAGAAATTCATGTATAGAAATTTACTGCATTCATTAAGTATATAATTAACTGTTTTACTAAATAACGTAAATGGAAGTCTTACACGATGTATTCGTCATTAACACATATAGATCAGTATTGTCCACAATTATTGTTAGTTGAAATCAGGTTTAGCAAAAATCACTTAATATGGAGTTTTTGAAAGTAGATTGAGTTGAAAACGTCACTTTGGTGCAATAAGGTCTAGCTTGCAAACTTTGTAAAATCGTGTAAAAGGGCAAAGTATTAAGAAAATGCAAACTGTAAGACTTCGTGTGCTTAGTCAAGTCACAAAAGCTCTAAGCTCGTTGTTAAGGTTGGCTTAGCTCGTGGTGCCCAAAAAATGTACGCCCTCTCGTTCCATCCACATCAAATCTTTGTATCCTCAGTGATTTACATTATTCTTTCAAGTGCAGTGTACTTGTGTTTTATCGAAGGTTGGCGCAGTAAAAAAGGGAAATATTTGATATATCGGACGTATTACTCATTGATTACACAGCAAACAATAGACACTAAAACGACCATTTGTCTGAAAACTACACAAAAGGAGTGAATGATTCATATATAATTCATTCATGGACAGTCACGGACGAGAAACCACGATCTTTCACGATCATAAGAATGGAGTAACGTATTATACATATATTATTATACGTTATTATATATTTGTATTTTTGCAGCCTCACTGACGCTCGGCACCACACTAATCGTGGGATGACTCAGCCTAGTCTTTCGCCCGACTGAGATGCTGGCGAAATCTCGATTTGTTTCGGTGTGTCTGTGGATTTTTTCAGAATGTGGATAAAAGTACATTTAATGTGTTATTACAAGTAGACAATATATATGTATAAGCTCTCAGAAGTGATCTTGTAGTCCTAGAAACAATTATATATAATCTAGTATAACTGTTTGAGAATATCAAATGATTTTTGGTTTATATTATGTACGTACGTGTAGTGTGATGGGAAGAAATACTTGCCACGTGCGAGGCCTCTGCGCTCACGAATTTAGGCATACCTTGGTGAGTCTTAATCTGAATAGAATCGTCAACAATAAGCAATATAATCCTACCAAAGTAAGAAAATACTAAATTTGCGCGGCCTGTGTACCTAAAATTAGCTATCACCACAGTGCAATGGTGACACATTGCACTTGGGACACAGGACGTACGGTTACACATTTTATGGATTGTATTAGAACCTATAAAGGTTCTCTAATTACGTAACTGTCACTTCCGCTTGTAAAAATTATATAAAAGTTTCGCAGCCTGCATTGTAAACTATTAGTCTGATGATGTCTTTGGAATATAGACGAAATATTACACCATGTTTTGCTTTTAAACTCTTGTATTATCTTAAATATCAAGAAAACGAGATGTCCGTTTTCGGAATTTGTTTTATTTTGTTTTATATATTGTAAGGAAGAAGAAAATTCACGAAAATTATAATTTCATCCCGAAAAACCTGTTTCGTAATTTCTCATTCTTCCGAGGCACCTTACCTATTTTATGTTGTTTTAAATACCTCGTTTAGATAGTAAAATGAGTTTTTTGGCTTATTTGGACAAAGCCAAAAACCAATTTCATTGAATCCTATTTGTGAAAAAGCTGGGGAATATTATAGGAATTGTAAAGGATTTCGCAGGAAAATTCAGGAATTTTATCTTTAGTTCAAAAATCATTAAAATTCAGTTCTGGAAACCCCCTGCTCATTTTTGCATACATTTCCAATGTAAGAGCAAGTTGTAAAAGTCCATGTGAGCTATCTAGCTCTGAAAATATTGGGAATTTGTGGACAAATTATGTCATTCGAAAGACCAGTGGATAGACGTGGGAAAGTGTGTTTAGCAAATGGTGAATTCTTTACCATACAACAGACGCCTGAGTTGCGTGTCAAAGTATGTAAAGCATTGAGACATCGTAGCTACATAATTGCGCGTGTTTTCAATGAGAAAAAATATAGTTTGTACAGGGTATTCCAAAAAATGTCTCCCCTATACAAATTACTCGACTTTTGTTGGACCTGTGTTATTATACCTGCGACAGATTAATTGTAAAATGGATTTGGTTGCTTCCATCATCGCGATAAATTTGATACTTAAACGAATTATTTCCTGTTAATTTACTACTTACACCATTCATGTGCAAATCAATTCAACTCCCAGAGGTACAATAACGGTCAAGAATAATTTGTATAGAATATGTTAGTTGACCTATTTGAATTTTCTCGCTTAATAGTTTATATTTTACTTTCTAATATGAAGGATTATTGGCTAAGTAATACATTGTGGTCATTTCAAGAATTTTAAATAAAAATAAACAAGACAAGACACTGCAGTATGTACATAAGAGATCAAGGTTTTCATCAGATTACTCCTGATCAAGACACTAGACTGCAGTACCTATATAAGGAATAAAGTTTTAACATTATATCAATCCTGATGATGAAGACACTAGACTGGAGTAAATAAGAACTCAAGTTTCAACCTCAGATCTTTCCTGATGAAGACATTTGAATGAAGTATATAAAGACTTAAGACTCAACAACAGATCACTTCTGAGGAAGACATTAGACTGGAGGGTGTAAAAATTATCAAATAATTCAACATCTGATTGCAATCAAGACTTTGAGAAATCAACTAGGTTTCTTTCCAATTAAGAATTTTTTTAACAAATGCCTCAATTTTTTGTTTTATTGCATGAATAACTTGCATATCTTTTGAAAACAGGATGTATGCATTGAAATTTGCAAGAAATTGGACATTGCTCCTATGGCTTTACATTTCTTCACACTTATGACAACAGACTGTGAACACTGCCTTGACATCGAATGCCAGATAACGGAAAAATGTGACAGACAAAAGATCATTATTATAATCCCAACATATATTGGAAGACATTCCCAATCAGGTCTTTTCTTTCGGCTTGCATTTAGAGCTGTTGCTGGTTCCTATTTAAAAGCTGTGAATGTTGCTACATTTGAATACTTTGTCATGCAGGTAACAACTGTAATTTTGTGTATGTATTTTCAAAATAACACTCTTTGCTTGCCTTTGTGCTGGTTTGAGGTCATTTGCTGGCTTACCTCAATTTGTAAGTGTTATTGATTTTGGTCACCTTTCTTATTAGCATATATCATCAAATTGTAAGTGACTTTATGTTCTTTGTTAAGTTATTTAATGACAAATGCATAATGATTATCACTAACCTACAGTGTCGATGGGATTACATCAAGCAAAGAGTGGACAACTTGTCCTGGAAAGATCATCTCACTTTGCTAGTTCTTGAGTCAATAATCCAAGCTCACGAAAAAAACATAACTGCCAAAGAAGTTCTTGACAAACCGTAAGTGGTACATGGTTATTTTATTTTCATGTAACTAGTTGAGGTTGTTGAGAGCTTTCTTTAGAAATTGGATCCACTTTTGAAATGTACTCATACATTATGAACTGTTTGTTTTGTTGTTTTTTGAATGGCCATCAGGGCTAGCAATGCTGGTGTATAAACTCATTCAGACGTGAATGGGGTTGAGCTGTAAAGAAATACTTTTATCTATAAAGTATATATTTGTAGGAAATGCCATGGTATTGCTCATTTGTTTGTGAGTAAAGACTACAAGCCAAAAAAAATACGATCTCATTTGAAGACACAACTCCCACAGTTCAAAACTGAACAAGCAAATGCAGACTACGCGAAAATCTCGTTTTTGGATGTCCTTGAGCGTGTTCCTGATTTTGGTGTTATGAATATTCTTGTGAAAATGGTATCATCTTACTAATACTATTTCCTGCTCTTAAAACTATTTTGAATATGTCTATAATTATTGTTTGTTTCAGTTTTATTACCAAGCTCCTTCGGAAGATAAAGTCTTGCCTGTAGAATGTGAGATTCTGATATCACCAAATGGCGTTAAAAAAAGACGTACTTACCAGAAAGATGAGGTGCGTGCCAATACAATGAATGTAGGATATTCTGTAATGTGTATGTTTACCATTTTTTCACCAAAGGTGGTCTGTCAAAAAACATTTCAAATAATATAGTTGATCGATAGAAAACTTTTTGTACTTTAAGAGATGTTTGGTTCAAAATATGCAAAATGTTGGGATTTTTTAATCATGGCCGGAAGAAAAGAGCCTGAGTACGAAAGCACATTTTTACGTCATACAAGGCACGGAAGTTAATTGATCACCATTACTATAGATTTGTATTATATGCAGTTTTGATTTTTTTCAGCGTGACGAAAACGAAAAATGCCCGTCACATATTAGGTAAATTGGTGCAGCCATAAACACTTTTTGCAATCATTAATTATTAGCTTTAAAAAACATTAAATCATACGTAAAACATTATTACGAATATCATTGTTTATTGGCAAAAACTAATAAGCTCTGTTTATAATTTTACGTAAAATCCCTTAGTAGCTATTCCGAGGAGAAACACATAAAGTAGCTATAGTATTTATCCAGTTCAATTATTTCGCCGTAGCTATAAGTCCTGTTTAAATAAGCTCTTGTTATTTTGTTTCAGATGTTTATAAAATGAAAAATATCATAATTTTTTTCACTGTTTCTACAGTTGTTATTTTTATTTCCATTTCAAACTACGTAGCCCTATTCAATAGAAAGCGCCATAACGTTTAGTCTTGACTCTCAAGACATCATCAGACAATATTGAATTACAAGTGTAGAGGGATATATATATAATAGCTATTTACATAATATTAAATTACATAGTGGGATGAAAACGTGTTAGTAAATATTGGATAAGATGGTATGACGTGGGATAAGTAGAAACACGAAAGAAACAAAAAAACAACCCACAAACAATCATAAAGTATACAGACATGAGGACGGACGAAATTAGATTAAAGCAACTGAAGGACAATGGAGTTTCCTTGGACGTTAAGAGATAGTTTCATTTTGTTGATTAAGAGGCTTTCGTGAATAAGAAGTTCTTGTGAGTTTGAACATGAAGAAAGTATTTTAAATCCTTGAAGGTGGCGGTGTGTCCTGTGGATTTAAGGTGTGATAGTATGGAGGAATGATAGGGATGTTTAGAAGGTTTACCAGTCAAAGGGTTAATGCCCAAATGCTCTGAAATTTGAGTGTGTATTTGATTTTTGTCATTGTTTAGTACGGCAGTAATTATGAATACAGTAAAGTTGAAGAGATCATCTGCGATCATAAAGATATTGTAAGCCTCGACATAAATCAATCCCAGTCTGGAGAAGTCAGCATCCGCATAATTAGAAAGAACTCGTCTTCCGAGGTAAAGCTATTACTGTTGCTTCAATATTAATGTATTACCCCTACTCTTTTCGTGGTTAATTATGTAGAAACTACTCATAGCGATGTTTGATCTTGAATGTGACATAACTCTTGTGAGTTTTTATTTGATTGTAGGTCGTTTTCGTCGACGATTCTATGATAAAAGCGAAAAGTCTTATGACGTTGATTGATGGCTTTTATCGTTTGCTTGTGAACCCATACAAAACCTTAATGAAATGTACGTAATTACACTGTTTAGAGCCCGTGACAATCAATGACGTACATTTGCATCAATGATCAGTGGTCTTTAGACAATAATCAGTTTTGTAAATGTCCTTTAAAATATGGCGAGCGATTTTGTTTGGTTCAAGATGAATCGATTGGATTTTTTGCCTTAGGTGGATCTGGTCATAATAAATCATATGGAGAAGTCCATCAGCAATTTGGGATCCATGGACCGATTGAGTAAATACTAGTTAACAAAAAACTACTTTGTTAAAATGTGCATGAATACATTCCTATTTTCGAAATAATATACGTGAAATAGATTTCCATTTCTATTATAAGTACGTTATCTATGATTGATTTGTGGCGATGAAAAATCGTGAAATTAAAGTGTGGTGCAGTGGCGTAGAAAGCTCGATAATTGGGGGAGGGGGGCAATATTCATATATTCGTGTTTGGCCGTATTAAGTTACTTTGAAATCGATTGTTTTCTGTGTATTGTAACATATATATGTATATACCCCCCCCCATTATCTATGCTGGCTTAGCCAAAGCCTGGTATAGTAGACGTTTTTCATGAACATTGTTCTCGCATAGTAAGTCCGTGTTATGTTCTCCACCTCAGTATCACTCGTCAACATTCCTTGTCATCTCAATTTTTTTCTGAATTGTGCTAATATCCAGCATTTACCTCACTTATCATCATTATTTTTTTGCATTGCTCTACCATTTACGAAAATATTTTTCACAGGCAAAAGAAGGTTGACAATCTCTTAAAGGCGGTAACAACAGAAAACAGCAATCCATCTGGCGTTTATATGCTACGCCAAAGTCCCAAACATTTTGACAGTTATATCCTATCACTCATTCACGGCAATGAAGTAAAGAATTACGAAATATTAGTCGACAATGGCAAGTACTGCCTAAAGGATGGGCCCGTGTTTGACAGTATGGTAAAACTTGTGGAGTTTTATAAGACTGAACAGGTTTGTTTTGTTTGCATGGAAGAACGGTGTATTTCTATGATATGGCATGACACGTTTGTGTTCGTGGCAAGACATGTTTTTGTAGAGACAAACACGTTTTTGTGCATGCACTTAGCCTATTTGTCGCTGGACAAAGTTGATTAATTGAGATTAATGACATGGATAAGGTTAACTTGAGATAGTGCAAATTGAAGAGTTGTAACATTTGACTGGAAATGAGAGATACTTGTTATGTTGCATTTAAGTTTACATTTTGTTTACGTTTCAAATTGTCATTTGAAAATAATCAAAAAGGCAAAATGAATTTTTTTTCATTTCTCGTCGTGTGTTCATTTTTTAGCACATTGTAAGCTTGAGCTTTCTACTCCACTTTAAATTGGCTCTATGCCTTTAAACTGTTGGATTACAAGTCAAATTATTTTCACTATAGAAGTATATCAAATTTCGTTTTCTCTAGATCGGTTTTCCGACTGTACTAACGAAACATTGTCCAGTACCAACTGAAGGTAAAGTTTATGTTTGAATAATAGTGTCCATATTTTGTTGTAAAATAAGAAACTTTTCTAAGTGCATGGCTTGTGAAAAGATGGAAAATTGTGGTGATTTTAGTTTAAAAATGTTGTTTTGCGATTGTCTTACGCACCAGTTACAATCTTTATTATTAGCCAACAATCAAAGTTTTGTAGTAAAAATTACTGAAAAAAATTTGTTTTTGAAAGATAGACCATTTGTTATATCTTCTCCCACAAAATAAATAACCTTAGATACAAGAAAAATGCTCTCAAAATTTTATTTTAAAGCTCTCAAAATATATTGAAAAGCAATACGTTATGCACAACAGAAAAGTTACAACGAAAAGGTCTTTTTGTGATTTAAATTTTTATCTCACCCAATGTCATTATATTTGAATCATTTGATTGCATAACTGAGTAATTAATGTTATGTTTAATTGTTGTTATGTTGCCCATTGTTTTCCCAAAAAGTGCACTGCATGTATGTATTGCATTGGTTAAAGTGGGCAACACTGATGCTTAAGATTATTTTCGTTTCACTCACCTCTAAAAGTAATACTTTTATGTCATTTTAAGAATTGCAGTTTTGTGAGTGGAAATGCATCGATAAATCTACAAAACATAGAAATTTGTTGTTAAAGTTGATTCAATATGGACGCAATCGGAATACCGAGGTTAAACTTGTTGGTGATGTACGTGTGATTTTTTCCGACGAGTTTTGCATTGGCAAAGGAAGCAACGAAACCCGTGTTTTTCTGGGACTGAGAAAGGATGGTTACTGCAAAGCAGTAAAACGAATACTTAGAGATAACTGTATTAAGAGTGCGCAACAAGAAAAGAAAATTTTGAATGAATTCAACGCAAAGAAGTCAAAATATGTTGTGAATTATTCCTACTTAGATGAGGATACTGGAACGGAATATGTCTATTTAATATTAGACTTATGCGAAGAATCATTGGAGAGTTTTGTGAAGTTTTCTACTTTGCCTGATCTTCAAAAAGCTCTTCCAGAAATTCTTACACAAATTTTAAAAGGATTAGCTGATCTTCACAGCGGCCCAAATCCTATTCTTCATCGGGATTTGAAGCCTTCCAATGTTCTCCGAGATTCACAAGGTAAGTTTCTGATAGCTGATTTTGGGATTAGTCGAATATTAAAGAATGGCTTGAGGACATATGAAAGCAGGGCTAACAGGGGAACTGAGTATTGGATTGCACCTGAATCATATTGCGAAGATGAAGATACAGTTGATAAAGGACGTTACAAGAAAGAGTCTGATGTAATGGTTGGTATAGGAATATGACTATTTACAAAGTACAAATAAATTTACTTTTTGGCATTTTTACATTGTTTATCATTTTAGAATGCTGGAATGGTGGCTTATTATGTTGCCACGAAAGGTAAACATCCTTTTGGAACTAAACGGCATATACTGGACAATATGTTAAATGGAAACCCTGTTGGCTTAGATCAAATCAAGGATGAAGCATTGAAAGACCTTTTGTTCTGGATGTTAAATCTACGACCTGAAGATCGGCCATCTGCTAACGAAGCGTTGAAACACCCATTTCTTATGTCGGATGACGAGAAGTTTGATTTTTTATGTAAAGTTGGAAACCAACAGCCAATAAAGACGAGCGACACCGATTCAAGTGTCGTCAAACAATTAAATAGCAAGTATTCAAATTGGAAAAGTTTTATGGACACTGATGTATATGATTTTTTTAGAACAGACAAGGTAAATGGAAAAATGTATAAGTATGGGCCTTCATTGACAGAATGCCTGAGACTAATTCGAAATATTGGCCAACATTGGTACGATGGACCTCTACCTCAACCAGAGCCATTTTATAAAATTGGCAATCACAAGGCGTATTTTCTCCAAACATTCCCCAATCTCCCTGTTCTGGTGCATGCAGCGATTAGGTCAAATGACGAATTGAAACATTGTTCAGATCTCAAAAACTTTTTCAATTTCAATGAAAGCGAATCCAGTGAATGAACAGTTTAAAGAGAAAAGAACCTGTTTGAAGGAAAGGCAATGATCAGTATTTGTATGAATGTACATTAAAAACGTTTTTACTTCCAAGTTCCATACGTTGTAAGAGTGGTGTAGCTAAGCTAGCTTCGATAATGACGAAGAGAGAAAGTCATGCATACTTTATCATAATTTGCAAACAACAATTGATTTCAAAGGATTTTAATAAGACAGTATCCACTTCCAGCCGACAATTTGATATGTAAAGTAAAATAAATTCCAAATATAATATGTATCTTAACTCGATATTTGAGATGAAATAGAGAAGACAATAATATTATTGATAAAGTAAATGGTATGAACCAGCGGGAATATCGTCACATGTTTGTAGATGTAGATCGTCTAGGTTAGTAGAGTCCTAAGAAGGACTTTTTTGTTGTTGTCGACTGACGTTTCGACAACCTTAGCGGTAGACATCTTCAGAGTCAACTTGTACTTGTGATAATATTAATTTCTTTATCGATAGTAGAATGTACATTTCAATAATGTTTTAGTTTAATCGTGAAATTCACCTTTTTCAAAATTAAAGTCACCTGAACCTTTATATAAGGGTAAGAAAACAACGAATATCATTGCATGTCAATAACAGTATGATCCTTTCTAAGTCTTTCTTTATTAGTATCAATGTTAGTTTCATTACAATAATTGCATTATTTACAGTTTTGATTTAAATAAAATCATAGTTATATTGCGTGGCAACATAAATGTTTGTGCTTATCCTGCATGCTGTGTAATGTCTGTGACTCAGAATGCAAATGGTTTGTGGGTAGCCACTGCGCATGTGCGGCTAACCACTAGGTTACTGTAATATTCCATGTGTTGGTTTCATGCACTGATCTCGAAATAAGACTGGATCAAGCATCTAACACAAAAGTTCGTAATAGAAGCAATCTTTCCACACTAGAAAGACATTTTGTTTCATATTATATACATTTTACGCATAGTTTTCAAATTTGAAAATGACGTGGAGCAATGAGCATACATCACGTTTTTTATTGTCTTAAATAAAAGATCTCCTAAATTTTAATGGATATTTTTGTAACACCTTTACAAGCTTACTTCTGAAATCATTAAAGTTTTTGTGACATGTAAGTTCCAAAATTAATATTCTGTCGTTTTTTTATCTACAAACCTGCTTGTGTTTTGTCAAAACTATTTTATTGTTTTAAAAATTCAAATACCATGTTTACTTTTTGTATACATCCACAAGTAAACATGCAAAAAATGATTTTTAACAGAAAATCCATTAAAGTTTTTAGAAAACTTTTATTTAGGACAACAAGAAATTTCGTGTCATATACGCTTTAATCAATAAAATGTAGATGTCTGCATAATCTAATGAAAACCACATATTTGTTTTAGCAAGTTCTTCAATGCTAGCAGAGCATAAGGAACACAAAGGAATGATTACAGGATTGGCTTTTTCTCCGAACGGTGAACACATGTACAGTGCTGGATCGCAAGGAATTTTAGTGCTATACCAAGGTTCCACAGAGGAGCTCAATGTACAAAGAATTCTTATCAATACAGTGGCACCTGGGGATCATTTCGCTCCCGATGTGTTGTCCGTCAGTGATGATGGTCAGCGGCTTGCTGTTATTGGTCCATTCGAATACGTGATTACTGTAATGGACTGCCGCACTTTGGACGAGGTTAGTAAAGAATAGGTAGCTATTTCATTATACATTTACTGGACTATGTACTTATATTATACTCGTGTCACGGCATTCACGTTTATTGTAGGTGACGTTCTTATCTAATCTTAACCTGTCTTTAAGTGAAGGTTATTTAATCTTCAACATGTCAAGCTGTAATTATTGAATGTCAAACATTCTTTAAATATTGATTATCATTGGAGATTTTTTAATCTTTAATATGTTTAAGGCTTTAGACTGAGATTTTCTAATGGTGCACAGTCTTCAATGGTGATTATATCATTTTCCGCATATTCAAGCTAAGGTTGTTGACGTTGAACAGTCTTTAAGTAGAGTTTTTATGATTTTCAACACGTGTTAGCTGAGATTATATGGTGTTAAACAGTTTTTAAGTAGGGATTATGTAATCTCCAACATATTTAAGCTTAGGTTATCTTATGTTAAACAGTCTATAGGTACAGATTATCTATAAGTCTTTAAAATGCTAAAACTGAGATTAATTCATCTTAAACAATGTTTATCTTATCTAGGTTCTACGTATAGATATAACAACAATACATGCAGGAAATGTTTCCACTACTGACGATACTGCCCTCAGATTGTGCTACTCTCCTATGGCGTTAAATCAACTTTTGGTGGTTACTGCTGGTTGTAGGCTGTTGAAATTTGATGCACATAGTGGGCAGTTATTGAGCGAGGTAGATAATAACGATGGAGGAGATGGTTTTATGATACCTAGAAAGAGTCTGTTGATAGTTACTGATGGATTTAGGTTGTTAAAACCTGATTTAACTTAATGGACAATTATTGAGCGAAGTAATTAATAATAATTAAGAGGGAGTTGGGGATTTTCATGCTACATTTAAAGAATTTGTTTGCAGTTACTGCTTGATGTAGGTTGTTTAAACTTGATGTAGTTATTGGACAGTTATTGAGCGAAGTAGATAATTAAGATTGAGAGGGAGGGGGGATGACGCGACATAGAGAGAGTTTGTTATGATGAAAATTTCACACCGACAGGAATTATATGAAGTTTTATGTAGAAGTATGTTTTATTGCTTAGGTTTCCAACGTTCATCGATCTAGCTGTTCAAGTCTTGATCCTTTCCAAGCTGGGCAATTTCTTGCAACTGCTGGTGATAAACTTATCAAGATATGGGACTATCACATGAAAATGGACTTGAATTTCCAGGTACGATAATCTTCATAATGAAGACATTTACTACGCTCCAACTTCTTCAGCATCTAACAACGCGCGTTGTAAATTTTAATTTATAATTTTTATTTATACTTGTGTCGAAACCACCACGAATACTTTTCATGACTGACTTTACTATCAATGATATATATATATACTGCTAGTGTGTGTTAATTAGAAATACTCTTTATTTCTTACGAAAAACTGTCTTATCAATGAATTATTCTGTATAGTTATGCATGCAAAAGGCTTATCTCAAAATTCCTAAAGTATACAAAACCTTTCATATCTTACATTACATTTAAATTTAGGAAGAGTTGAGATCTAAAAAATATATTTACTTATTCTTTATTAAATAAGAAAGGAAATATGTTTACAGGCTAAAGCAAGCACAACTCTACACCAATCAGCGCGCGCGTTGTATTGTTTTATTTTATGATACATCTTAACCGTTTCTATACAGGTGTTTATTGGCCATTCAAATAATGTCTCCAAAGTTCGTTTTACTCCAGACCTCCAAGCTTTGGTCAGTATTGGAGAGGCGATATTTATTTGGGATTTTCTTGCAGATGGCCGCGTTCCTTTGGAGCCTGGGTACGTAAACACACTTTTTTTATATTGTTTGTTTTTTTATTTACTAACATTCGCAACAGAGATTTCACGATATTTATGCACTTCCAAAACTGCTGGTATAAACATTTTTTATGTAGGATAACATTTTTTTGACTGATGTTATTCAGTGAGTGTCTTTATGGCGTAGATCATTGAAGTCATAGATCACATAGATCATTGAAGTCATAGATCACATAGATCATTGAAGTCATAGATCACATAGATCATTAAAGTCATAGATCACATAGATCATTGAAATCATAGATCACATAGATCATTGAAGTCATAGATCACATAGATCATTGAAGTCATAGATCACATAGATCATTAAAGTCATAGATCACATAGATCATTGAAGTCATAGATCACATAGATCATTGAAATCATAGATCACATAGATCATTGAAGTCATAGATCACATCATTGAAGTCATAGATCACATAGATCAGTCATAGATCACATAGATCATTGAAGTCATAGATCACATAGATCATTGAAATCATAGATTACATAGATCATTGAAGTCATAGATCACATAGATCATTAAAGTCATAGATCATAGATCATTGAAGTCATAGATCACATAGATCATTGAAGTCATAGATCACATAGATCATTGAAGTCATAGATCACATAGATCATTGAAGTCATAGATCACATAGATCATTGAAGTCATAGATCACATAGATCATTGAAGTCATAGATCACATAGATCATTGAAGTCATAGATCACATAGATCATTGAAGTCATAGATCACATAGATCATTGAAGTCATAGATCACATAGATCATTGAAGTCATACATAGATCATTCAAGTCATAGATCACATAGATCATTGAAGTCATAGATCACATAGATCATTAAAGTCATAGATCACATAGATCATTGAAGTCATAGATCATTGAAGTCATAGATCACATAGATCAATGAAGTCATAGATCACATAGATCATTGAAGTCATAGATCACATAGATCATTGAAGTCATAGATCACATAGATCATTGAAGACATAGATCACATAGATCATTGAAGACATAGATCACATAGATCATTGAAGTCATAGATCACATAGATCATTGATGTCATAGATCACTTTACTTTGAAGATGACTACCGCTAAGGAAGTCAAAACGTCAGTCAACATCAACAACAATAGTTCTTCTCAGGACTCTACTAATCTGTACGATCAACATCCACAAACATGACATGAATATTACCCAAACGCTCCCTTAAAATTTGAAGCCTACGATTCAACTGGTTAGTTAAGTGGTATAACCAGTTATTTGGCCTTCGGTAATCTCGGGATTTCATCCAATCACCACTCATCTCCAGATTGTAAAAACGTTCATTACGACCATATTACGACCACTGATCTCGAAAAAAGACTGGATCAAGCTACTGTATATTTGTGGTAAACAAATTTTGAAGCCACCGTCGCCATTACTAATGACCGACACATCGAAAGATTTTTAACAAAACTATGGAAAACATAGCAACACATAGCCAAATTATACTTTAACATAACGCAGAAGATGAAAACAACCTTTATGGTGATAGTAAAGCGAGTCAGAAAGAATAATCGGCCGTATAAAACAAAACGCATACACGTTTCACTCCGAATCACTCGCAAAAAAGGCTATTTTTAAGGACTGATCAGTTTATGATAGTAAATTACATTATTTAATCAGTTTGTACTTCTAAACTACGATTCCAACAATTTTAGGTATTTCCGTGCAGTTGTGGGCTATTTTCCATTGTTTTTCCATATCACAGAGAGTTACCGATGACAAAAATCGCTGCATTTTGATCATGTTTCATCATATTTCAT